TCTCTCTCTCTCTCTCTCTCTCTCTCTCTATCTCTCTCTCTCTCTTCTCTCTCATTCTTTCTCCTCTCCTTCTCCTTCCCTCCCCTCTCTCCCCCTCACTCTCTCTCTCTCTCCCTCTCTTGCCTTCTCTCTGCCATAAGGTGAGCCACTCACTCCACCACCTGCTCCCATACATTCTACCTCAGAAATAATGCAGCCAGGTGACTATGGGCTGAAACCTCTAAAACTGTGAGGAAAATAAATCTCTCCTCCTTTAGGTTGATTTTCTCTGTATTTTGTCACAGAGACAAAAAAAAATGAATAACACACCTTTCCATTTCACTGGAAATTTTTGGATAATGAACTGTCATCTGATAGTCCAAATATGCAAAAATAGAACTGAGGACCACGCTCAACCTCAAGGTTCCTCTACACACATGCAGGTGCAGTAATGTAATCTCTCCTTTGTTTGAATTTTTTATTTTGTTTTGTTTTGTTTTTGGAAACAGAGTATCATTATGTTGGCCAGGCTGGTCTCAAACATGTGGGATAAATTGATCCACGTGCCTTAGCCTCCACAGTAGATGGGACTATAGGTATATGCTGCCACAGCTGCTTGAAATACTTATTAATACCAAAAAAATAGGGTGCCTCAGTTAAATTGCACATTCTCTAAACCAGTTACAAAATAGCCAAATTTTATCTTCTGCTATCTGAATATAAGATATGAACTGAACTCTCATAACCACACATCTATCTAAAGTCTTAACACACAGCAGAAGGACAAGCCCACTGAACAGTCCAAGTCTCATATCACAGGCTTTTTACACAGGGAGTCTATAGCCCCAGAAGTGCCACAGTAAGGGATCACAGACAGCAAGGGATCCTATGTGGACAAAACCTGAGAGTGTCAGGGAAGTAACAGAGATTCAGCCTCTGGGGGAGCTCCATCAACACCACAACCTGAGCTGAACCCCTCCATTGGGGTGCTCAGGGTTTCCTCCAAAGGAGGAAAATTGTTAAGGGGTACAGGGAGCCCTTCAGACCCACTTTCCATGGAGCAGACGGTCATGGACACAGCTCCATACATAATCATTAAGTATGGAAACAGAGCTCCAGAAAAGGAGGCTGGAGGGAAAGAGAAAATGTGGGACCCATCAATCATGTTATAGAAGGAGACATCCCCTTCACTGTAGTCCAGGAAAACCCCCACCCTGAAAAGATCCTTCATAGAAGATAACCAAGTCTCAGGATTAGTTAGGGCAAAATAACTCTTGTTAACTTTCCCCATGACCCAAAATCCCCTTTGTGGTGATTCCAGGTAGTTGCCTTTTCTCCGCACATCTTTCCTACAGACTCCCAGAGTCCACTTGCTGTGTAATTCATTCTCTATCTCCACTTCCCAGTACCATCTTCCTGATGTGATGCCCTCAAGACCCAACACACTGCATTTTTCATCACAGTACACACAGGGGTCCTTCCAGGTCAGACGCATCTTTTCATGACAAACAGAAAGCCTGTGGTGAGCAGAGTCTGGATCCAGAGTGACAGGCCCTGTTGAGAGAATTATCAGTCATGCAAGGTCCTCTCCCACCCCAAAACAAAGCACACAGCCACCCACCACCTCACAGCCATATAGCTGCCTGAGCAGAGGAGGGGATAATTCTCCTGAGATATGAGTCTTGTAACTCAAGCCCACATCAACAACCAGGAGAAGGAGCCAGAGGCTGATTTGGGGGGCAGACTTGTGACAGGACCCTTGAAAACCAGTACCAGTGTTGTGACCACCACTTCTGCCACAGCAACACCATTGGTGATGCCAGCACCTGAATCACCACAGAGAACTTAAGGAGAAGCCAGAAGCCATGAGGGCAACAGGAGGAACTTCTAGAAGCACACAGTCACTCACAGGCTTGGAACCGTTCCTTCCGCCAATCTACAAAAGAACACACATCTCATGTCAGGGATTTGCAGAGTCCTTACACATCAGGGTCAGCACCCAGTCTTCTGAAACACAGCAATGTGGGAGGAAGAAGGGAAAAATATGTTTGAAAACATTCAGCTGCTGTATTTGTTTCTTACACACACACACACACACACACACAACACCCACACTTCCCATGAAGACTAAGCCTAAAGCTTAACACCTCAGGATCAAAATGCGGGATATCAATATGAAAAGTCACTGTTCAGATTTAGCTACCAAATAATGCTTTCTCAAGACAAAGACACACAACAATCCTGAAAACTGGGTTATCTTGAGATACAATTAAGGTTATAAAATTTCAAAGACCTCCATTTACTTATAAAGAACTGACTTGCTGAACTTGTAAGGTTAATTCTAAGCCATGAGTAGAGAATTACATCTAGCTAAGCTGAACTTGGAGGATGACAATAAATCATGAGTGCAGGGAACTCAGAGAAATCTTACCCATTTAGGTGGCAATGGAGAGGGTTTTAAGATGGGAGAGAAAGAAGTTCAAAGCAGGAAACAAATATATCCAGTGAGAGGTCAATACTAGTGACTTTTCTTCCACTTCGCAAAGACCAATAAGAGAAAAACATCCTTACATATGTGGGAGAACCCCAAAATATTGGACCTACTCATTTGCCTCCCAAAAGAATTGCCTGAAGAGTTTCAAAACTTCCAGCTATAATAGAACCCATAATCCTAAACTCCAGAGTGTGTGAATGTGTGAAATCCATGACTAGGCCACTTTAAAAATGTGACTAAGATTCAGGTTCTTGAGCAGGGGAGATTATTCTGGATTCTCTGGGGCAGTCCAAACTAATCTCATGAACCCTTGTGAATAGAGAGAGACCTGTATTGGCTGTATCAGAGAAGCAGATAAAATCACAGAAACAAGGTCAAATCCATGCTGTGCTGCTGGATTTGAAGATGGAAGAACAGGCTCCCAAATGAGAGAATACAGATGGCCTCTAGAAATGCACAAGACAACAGCCTCCACAAAGGAACACAGCCTTGTGCACACCTTCTTGGATTTTCTGGCCTACAAACATGTAAGATAATATATTTGTGTTGGTTTAAGATACTAACTGTTTTTAATATTTATTTTTTAGTTGTAATTGTCAATACCTTTATTTTTTTTAATGTGGTGCTGAGAATCAAACCCAGAGCCTCGCACATGCTCGGCGAGCACTCTACCACTGAGCCACAACCCAGACTCAAGCTACTAATTTTGTAGTAACTTGGCAGCAAATAGAAAACTAATATGCCCACATAGATAACACACCCCTTGTGGAACAAAGCACTGGCAGAGAAATGTGCTGACAGAAACCATGAACCTCCCTGTCTCCTGCACTTAGGAAGCTGAGTACCAGGAAAATCTCACATTCTCTGCTAGATGGTGAAAAGACAGGGGCCCAGTGAGCCAGTAAACCAGAAAAGGTCTAAAGATCAGAGGAAAAAGTCCAGTGGCAACCAAGAATCAGTGACACCGACCTTGGACTTTACCTCAGGGTCAGAGGAAGGGGGACCAAGCAATGTGATGAGAACTGCCTTTTCTCAGGAGACACCAACCCAAGAGTCTTATGAACCAGTTCAGACTAGCCTCCTGATGGAGAGGACCTGAAATACCTAGGAGAAAACACATTGTCCCTCTTCCCCCAGCGTCCCAAGGCCACATCAGTCTCCTAAAACCACCATACTCCCTTTTGGGAAGAGGTCAGGAAGGTAGTTGAACAAAGCAAAGTCTACATATGTCGTACACTCCAAAATGTCTTCAACTGGAAAGCTTTTGCCTCCAACATGGCAGAGCCTTAGGAACAAGATTAGAATGATTAACATAATAACTAAACAACATTTTTCTTTCTTAAAGATTTTTGTTTAAATTTGTTCTCCCCATTTCCACTAATATATGTTCAATCACCTACATGGGTATTTCCATCTTTGTTGAGTTGCTTGATAGAATCTAGATCATATAAAATGGCTGAGCAGGCCCAGATGACCCTTGGAGAAAAGTAAACTTTGCTCATTTTTTACTAAGACATTAGTTGAAATTCAATTATAATTTTCTATATAATAACTGACTGAGATTATCAAAGAAGAAGAAAAGAGAGGAAAAGGAAGCAGACGAGGGAGAAAAGGAGAAGGACTGAAAGAGAAAAGAAAACCGTTTGAGACTCTCCAGTGTGTCAAGTACCATGCTATGCACCTTAATGCAGCCTTCATATAATTACAACAGAAAATTTTAATTTATAACTCATTGTTACAATTTCATGAACAAGATGAAATAGAGATTTGTCCACCTCACACTATGCACCTGTCAATATGACAGTGTTGATTCTAGTATACCAATGGTGTTTATCCTTACAAAATAAAAGAGTATGCAAGTGTTACATGAAAACTTATAGACATTAATACAACAGAAAATGGGGAGATGGTTAAAAAAAGACTACGTGATCCTTCTTTTTAAATAAACATGTCCCCAGGAAAATCATTAAAATTCTCAAAGAGTGTTCCTCAGATATTTGAATTCAAAGCCTCCTTGATGCCATGACTCATCCTTCTCTGTCTCTCACAGTCTATATCCCTGATGCCAAAAGAAACATCCAGAGCAGGAAAAGGGCATATTATAAAATTTAGATGGCAGAGGTACTAAACTCACCCCCAGAGTTAAAGAGTCCTCTGGATTATCTTTCATTGCATAGGAAACTACCTTAGCATATGCCTGTCCTAACTGCTACTGGAAGGTGGAGGTGGTCTCATTATCACAAACTCAATGAGATGATTAGTTAGAAATGGCTTAATGGAATTCACACACACACACACACACAAAATGTATTCACTGAAAACTCTCAAAGATGTATCAAGGAGTTGGTTACATTTCAGGCACACAAAAAACCCACAAATCCTCTTCACACTCAACTCTAACCACCTTGGATGGGATTTTCCATCTCTCACTGCTTCAGCACACCCAAAATGTCTATGTGAATCTTGGGCACTCTACTTTCTTTCTCACCTCCTCTCTCCTCCCACCTCATCCTTTCTTTTCTGATTTGTTCCAACCCTTTCTCAGGTAAACAATATGAAACTCTCCAGGTTTCTCTTTTTATGATCTTCACACATTTAAAAAAATCAAAGACCAACACACAAATGAAAAATTTCTTAAAAGCAAAGAAATAGTGAACATCATAAATTGCATTGTGTTCCTTATATACAAACACAGGTTTTGAATATAATTTCAAATGGTTCACAGATCCCCTAAACATCCTGGACCCAAAATTCAGAACACCAGAAACTCATTTCTCAGAAACCAAGGTGCTTGGAAGAAACCCAGCTAGGACAGCGAGTCAGAGTAGGAGGTGGCTGAGAGAAGATCAATATCCAGAGGACCAGAAAACAAAAACAAAAACAAAAACAAGAAAACCAAACCTGGAGCCAAACAATAGGAATTTGGGGTAAAGGGAATAGAGAACCAAGGCCACACATTATGAAGATGAAATTCCTAAACTGTCAAATATGATTTCTGAAGAGTTTTGGAGACCAGCAATTCCTATCCCTAGTTCCAACCCTGTTCCATCCAGTCTCTGCTCACAACTGAACTCTCCAGTGTCACTGTACCAACAGTTAAACGCGATTGAAGAACTAAAATCAAAATTTAAAAAGACATTTGGGAAATTACAAAAAATGAAGAATAATAGGGCTGAGGTTGTGGCTCAGAAGTAGAGTGCTCACCTACCATGCATGAGGCACTGGGTTCATTCCTCAGCACCACATAAAAATAAAATAAAGGTATTGTGTCCATCTACAACTAAAAAAAATGTTTAAAAAACTGAAGAGTGTTTAAAAGATAGGAATATGAGGTAACTTCTTTGATCCAAACAGAAGAAGTCCCTGTGGTCTTCCAATGCAAGTTACAATCATTTTTCTCTCCATTTAGGAGAATTTTGCTTTCCTATTGTGCTTGGCTTTAGTTAGTTTGGGCAGGGGGCAGATTAATGTGTGATGATTATGAAAGAAAAAAAAAAAAACAAGAGAAGTTAAAAGTGTTAACTGGGAGGGGTGGAAAACAAATTAAAGAAGAGAGAGCAGGAAACCTCATCCCATCCTGGGTGGAGGACACTGATAAGGAAGGTCAGAGGTGGATCCAGGAGGAGGGAAGGCCAAGGAAACATCAGAGTTACTTACCTGCATACAGTGGGGCCTTCCTCCAGGCTGAAAGGGAACACACGGTGGTGAGACCACAGCTAAAACAAGCCTGCTCAGCATGAATGTACCTGCCCTAGCCTCCCTCCATTCTAAAGATGAGACTACCCACAGGAGGAGAGAGTCAGAAAGAGATGGCCTCATGCAGTATACAGGGACTGCAGGGTGTTGTGGGAAATCCCCTGGACCATAGATGAAGACAGCAGCTTTACAGGCCAATTGCTGCCATTGCCCCACTGATTTCTATCTGTCAGAAAACCATCTGCCTCAAAACTCATAAAAGTCCATATTCTATTTGTCTTTATTCAGTTTTGCCACTAAGGATAAAAATTATGCTATGTATGAAAATATTTGAGAGAATGAAATATAATTCACTCTGCAATTGTCAGGGGTATTATTATTATATCCAGGATTTTTCTGGCAAAGATATATTTGAAAAGGGGTGGGGATGTACACCGTGGTAGAGGGCTTGTCAAGCATGCACGAGGCTCCAGGTGCATGCCTCAGCACCACAAAATGAAAAAAATAAAATTTAAATTTGAAAAGACACTTGGGAGATTACCAAATATGAAGAATGATTTAGAGACAGCAATGAGTTCTGGGGTAAAACTGCCCAATTTTTCACTTTGGTAACTATTTCTAGACAATAAGAACCAGTTTTCAGGAAGTACTTGGTTCACTCTACCACATTTCCACCTGTGATGAGCAGCCCCCTTGAATTAGCACCTTCAGGAGCTAGAGAAAACATAATCCCTCACTGGCAATTTGTAGGGACACAAACAGAAGGTCACACTTCTAAACTTAATGACACCATGTACTTATATAGATCATTTAATAAAATCATACTATATGCCTTTAATCTTTTAGGTGGAGTCCAACAGCTAGATGCATTGAAGGAAAAAAAAACAACAAAATAATGGGCAATCCAGGGTTGAAATAAGATGCAGAATTCATGACACACCATGGGTCACCATCACACCCAGGTTTCGAAGCACTAGGTAGGAAATAGCAGCCAAGGTCTAAGAAAGTCCAGGGACCAATGTTCTGGCTTCCACTAGCTTCCCAGGGATGGGGCCCTACATGTCTGTGCCTAGACAGAAACAAGTACAGGGGACACCAGGACACAGGTAAGATAAGGAAACAAGCATTATCTGGAGAGTCACTTACCAGACAGATAAGCTTCTTTCCTCTGATCTGAAAAACAACAAGAAAGAAGGGAGCTTGGAACTAGAATATGTGCTACCAAGGAAACAGAAAATTCAGAAAGGAAAGAAGAACTTACAGAGGTCTGCCTTGAGTTCATCTAAAAAAAAAAATGAAAAAAAGTATGAACACCCATCCCCAAGAAAAGGAAAGACTGTGCCTGGAAAAACCTAGGAATAATGTTTCTGTTCACTAGAATTTCTAACTACAAAACCACCCAACCCCACCAGTCTCTAGCTCTCCACTCTGATCTACTCAGTTACCTCCTCTGGGCCCAGGACCATGGGTCTCCCTAGAGAGCTGGCCCCTGTCAGCTGTCCCTCACCACCAGGTCTGCACTTGCCCTTTGCGGTCTTACCAATGGTCTTCAGCACCTCTTCCTTTTCCTGCTGTTCCTGCTTCTTAAGCCACTGCAGATGCTCCTTTTCCTGCCTCACCTGCATCCTTCTAGAATGTGCTTTTCTGATACAATAGCAAGCCCCCAAGAGTAGGAGCCCGAGCATGGTCAGGATCACAGCAAATGCTGGCTTCCAGGGAGAGGCCTGAGGGAAGAAGGGCTCTGTGGCCCAGGCAGACAGAGGTCAGGGGCACACCCAGGAGAGCCAGCACAATCAGAGAGGCCAGCCCCTCCCCACAGCTCTGCTGGGAGTGGGAAGCAGCACTGACCTGGGATGTAAATAGCCATGGCCTTCTCCTGGTCCAGGACAGGGTTGAGGACAGAGCAGGTCACATTCCCCACAGAACTGTCTCTCACCACCAGAGTGGCCTCCACACTAAACAGCTCCTCACTGTCTTGGGTGTGGGCCTCAGAAAGCGCTGGGAACTTCTTTCCACTGAGGTCTCTCCACTGCACCTGGGGCTTTGGGAACCATCCTGAGGCTTTGCACACCACACGGACTCCATCCTCTTCTGGCCCTTCTATGCGCACTTGGGGATCAGAGCCCATCCCTGGAAGGAAGGAAGCTGTGGAGCCCCAGGAGGCCACCTTGGGCCCTGAGACCCCAGAGTTGCCTAGATATCACAAAACTTCAGAGGGAAGGATTCATGTTGAATTCTGAGAATTCTATGGGAAGAGGGAAGAAAAGGAAGGAGCACAGGGACCCCCACAGGGCAGCGGGCTCTTCTCCCCAACTGTGAGGCCAAGGTAAACAGGAAGAATTCGGTCCCAGGGCTCCCTCCTTGAATCTCACTCTTCTCACTTCACACACTCTCCTGAGACATCTGCCTCTCTGTATATCATGTCCAAAATTATATTGACTGACCACCTTGACTCCTGAATTCTCTTCTCCTACACCCATGTTCCCATGAGTTATCTTTACCCAGTTTCCTCACATACACTTCAAACTCAAAACTCCAAACTGAATTCATAAACGTGGACCACTTGTGATAAAACAAAAATTAAAATCTCCCTAATTCCTCACCCTTCTTTATACCTAGTTCTCCCACTTGCACACACTTTTTACAGCCTTTATCGTCTGCCTCTGGGCCCAGGCATGGGATTTTATTTAGCCAATAAGAAATTAGCTAATGTGACTAGTGCAGAGGTTTGAAAAGCACTTGCACCTTGGTTTTACCCTCTGCCATTTCCACAGGAAGACAATCCTGGGCTACCCAGTGGAGAATGGACTCATGTGACATTGCCTGGTCAACCTGCTACAGCTTCCCTAGTTCAGCCAAATGACCACCTAAAACATAAGCACACCCAATCAATACGCACCTGGTGAACTTTTCAGCTGACTTAAGAACAAATAAAAATTACAAGTAAAAAGCTTAATTCTCCCTGTTGAATAAAAGATTTTATTCTTTTTTCTTACACCATTTGCTTTAGGAAATGTCAATTACAAATAGGTACTTTCTCCTCTTTTGAAATGTTTATATATGATTTTGAAAACTGGTTAGGTTTCTGCCAGCTTTGTGGCTCAGGAATTCCTTTCTCAAGGACATGGGAGCCATTTCTTTGAAATGTACACATCAGGGAAGATAGCAACACTTTGCCCCCTTTTTGTGGAAAGATAGGAGCCTAACTTATGTGGGCATCTTGCTCTAAGTTATAAAACTGCTTCCTGTCATAAAGCTGGAGGAGTTTATTTTGCTTCCAGATAAAGCCTATTAGATGACACATATGGTCTCCCAAACAACCAGGTAAATTTAGGATGAGTTTTATGGAACAAGAGTGCTTTGGGCCATCTTAGTTGAGGATTACTCATTGTTCATCTTGAAAACAAATATACAGGAGATTATATATGATTGGCTCTAAAGAGAATGATGAAATTATTTTTCTGGTTGTGTAATCCATTCACAGATCACCATACTATGTATCACACTCTGGTTTGATGCTTATTCAGTAATAAAAGTGTTTTCTCCTAGCATGGAAGGGATATCCTGGTTGTAATTATGTTTCTGAAATATGACCAAAGATGTGAGTAAACCCAGGTGAGATAAGCCAAGTTCAGCCCCAATTAGTTGAACTCACTTAGTGCCTGAATTAAATACATTTTTATTGCCAAATGCACCCAAGATTGGGGCTGTTTGTTACACAGCATTATCACAGCAGTAGAACTGACACATAATTATCAATAGTCCTGCCACGAAACAACAAATGGTTCAAATAAAATCCTGGAAGTCTCTGAACTCTTCTTCTCCCCTTCCAAACTCTGTGCCCACAAATCTACTCAGTTGACTCTAGTTTCTAAACCTGTCTGACCCCTCCTCTCCCATTCCACTGCCATGCCTCAGGTCAGGCACTCATTTTCTCCACATCATAACTGCACTCCATGCCTCCTTCTTGCTCACCTCCAATCCTCCCATTCACAGCTGCCAACATGAGCATTCCCAGCATGGCTCCATTTAGGATTCCCCCTACTCTGCATCCAAACTCCATAACACAGCACACAAAGCCTTTACTGATCTGGTATCTGTCTTCCTCTCCAACACTTGTCCCCAAACTCCACCATCTGAGACACTCAGGGCCCACATACTCAATTCCAAGAACTATCTGCTCAAATGCAAGTAGCCACCATCACCATGTTGTCTGCCCTCTGCCTTTTCACCTTCCATCCCATCAACTTCCAGGGCTTTTGTGCCAGCCCGGGTGTCCACTCCTAATGATCTCATCCTGACACCTGTGACTGGTGTTAATACACGACCATCTCTTTATTCCAGTATTGCCACTTCTTACCATCCTCCTCCTCACTCCTCCTACCAACCATGATGGCCTCATTATACCCAGAATAATCAGCCATACTCCTACTTCAAAGGTTTCATACCAGGTGCTCCCTCTGCATTAAACTCTGGCCCCACAGATATCCACCTGGCTAAATACCGACTTCCTTTGAGCCTTGCTCAGACTGTCAATAAGGCTCTGCCTGAGTCCCTATGTAACACTACAGCTTGTCCTAACTTCTCAGCCCACATCCTGTGCCCCTTTCTTAATTCTATTTGGTCTTTTGTCTTAAATACTTATCACCTTATAACATATTATACTGAGTTATTTATTATAATTTTTCTTCCTTTGTCTCTTGAAAGTAAACTCCTCACAGCTGGGATCTCTGTTACACTGATATATCTCTGGGCACAGGATAAGTCCTGACATATTTTAGATGCCCCTAAACAGTGCTTGTATTGAATCAATGAATAAAAGATGAGTCACTTTTTTCTTTCATTTCACCTATAAAATGTGAGGCTTAATTTGGATGATTCTTAATGTTCCCACCAAACCCAGTACTCCCAAGGTCTCTAGAATAGACATCAAGAAACTAACCTGCCACCTTCACTTCCAAATCAGCCTCTTCATAGAAGCCTCCATGTCTGAAGAAGCAGGTGTACATTCCATTGTCAGAAACCTGGACCTTGTGGATGTGCACAGAAGCCTGCCCTTCTAAAAGGAAGTCCCTCACCAGTGAGGTCCGCCCTCTGTACTCATCCATCTGCTCTTCAGTCTGTTCTTGTTGGTTCCAGTAGATGAACACTGCCTGTGAGAGTGTGGTGCGGAACCACCCCAGTTCCATGTTCTCTGCATTCATGGCTGGGAGTAGGGCACAGGGCAGTATGGCATCCTTGCCCAGCACTGCCACAATGGGGTACTGAGGGCCAATGACCTGGAACTGCTCTGTGGACACAGACATAGGGGGAAGGAAGCTAGAGAGACAGACCAAAAAACAGAGAACACACACCACCAGGTGGAAAGGCTAGGAAAGCTGGGACAGGGGCCACATGAGATGAGCCCTCCAGTCTGATAGATTTGGAAGAGGTCTTCTGATCATAATGATGTGGACAGAAATGATGTCAAGGACAATCCCTCATTGTCTTCTGCTCCTGGTCCCAGGCCCTTCCATAAAGTAATCTCTAATTCAGTGGTTCTCAAGCTTTCAAGCTCCTGAACCACTAGGATGCCTAACAGAGCACACATAACTGGACCCCACTCCAGAGCATCTCATTCACTAGATCTGGGGTGGGCCAATGAATGTGCATGTACAAGAAGTTCCAAGGGTGGTCTGGGGAGCACACATTGGGAACCCCAGGATTAACTTGTCCTGTCTCAGGACAAACCTCAAAACTGACAAAGAGCACACCTGACAAAAGGTCAGCACTCTTTGATCATTCAGTCACACCCTGGAAATTCCCCTCTTCCAATTCTAAATTTTTTACTTCAGTCTATATTTTTCTCCTCCACTGAGGGAGGAGAGAAATACATATGCACTTTAAAACACAGAGTCAAATGCTACTTAATGCTGTGAAAATCCTGCTCTCATCATTCACAGAAACCCCCATCACTTCATGTTCAAGAAGCAGTTCACCTCACTCTCCACCCCCTTGGTGCTCTTGGGCTTCTGAGGCTACCACATGACTCCTCTGCAGGACATGCTGCAATGGGCCTCCAAAGAGCAACTCTCAAACCCTGTGTCTCTCCACTCTGGTCTCAGCCACTTTTTTTTTTTTTTTTTTTTTTTTTTGTTTTTTTTTTTTTTTTTTT